AAATGAAAATTCACCTGTGTCTGTCTGGCTGTCTGTAACGCAGCTACCAGATGATAAGTATGGGAAAAATAGCCATAAGTATGGAGAAAACAGCCATAAACATGGCAGCAATAAGATTCCGTGAAAAATACTCCCCAGACAAATGCTCCCGCGACACTTGTTTCCCAACGACACTTAGTCCTAGGACCCTAACTCCCCGACCAGTTGCTCGCCAGTCGTACCTAGCGGAACTCTTATTGATTGTAAGTGCAAAATGGTGTTGGTACGAGTAAATCGAGATCTCAATCCATAGACACCACACATCCTCACTCACTTCAACTCGCACACCCACACCCACACCCTATTAATTAATTTGAGGGTGATATTGGGAATTATCATTTATTTTAAGAATCATATATTGCCTTAGTATCGTATTACATAAAACATGGACTGCATGCTTTTGATAAAATATGGATGCGTAAGTGTGCTCCAAATTTGGAGTTTACGTGTGGAGTTTATTTTTTTCACGGTATTACGGTGACCACCATTTTGATTCAGGTAATAAGCCAGGATACTCTTGTGTAGCACGTATCATTAATCCTGTACAAACAATTTCAGCGTTGACATCATTAAAATCAACTATGTTTTTGCCATTGGTTTCAATGACCCATTCAATCTTTTGATTGCTTATATTAGGATCGATAGTAGCAGCACCAGCGCCTAGCGTTTCGCAACCAATTTTTATATTACTTGGATGAACACGACATTCTAAAACAAATTGTATGTATTTACTATTTTTAAAATATTCGTTTTGATGTTTTGGTTCAATTTCTTTAATCTCGGCATATCTCGGATGAGCAGCATAAATAATTGATGGAGTAGCATATATTCCTGGGCCGTGTGCAATAGCTCCTGCTGGTTTTAACCCACTTAATAAAATTGCCAAGCCATATTCAAATTTTGTACCATGATAACAAATACAACAACCTCTAAATCTCTCGCGGAATCTATCAGCAACATAGAAAGAACATCGCTGCCATCCGACAGGACAATAGTATGGCTTATCGCCACGATCTCTTCCGTCATGAAGTGCACCAGTCCAGAATGT